TAGAAGTTGTCACTTCCAGATGTGCAAAAAAGGTGTTTATATTTTTCTTACAGGCCATAACCACTTGCCCTCTAGAGGATTTACCCCCACTCAATGACCAGGCCTCTTTTTGCTACTCTGTGCTGCACTAATTCAACTGATAATTGCTCGGTCATGCATTGCTGCACCCAAACAAAATTTATGTCCTTTTTTCACACAAATAGAGCTTTCTTTTGGTGGTATTTGATCACCTGTGCACTTTTTATGTTTCGTGCTATAAACAAAAAAAGACAGAAAATTATGAAGAAAAATGATAATTTTTACTTTGGGCTATAAAAAATATATAGTAAACTCAAAGCTAGTTATAAATTTAGGCCAAAATGTATTCTGCTACATGTTTTTGGTAAAAAAAAATCCCAATAGGTGTATATTGATTGCTTTGTGTGAAAGTTATAGCATAGTCATGCAATACGGTACATAAATGAATTTTATGTCCTTTTTTTCACACAAATAGAGCTTTCTTTTGGTGGTATTTGATCACCTGTGTACTTTTTATTTTTTGGTGCTATAGACAAAAAAATTTTGAGAAAATATTTTCTCATTTCTGTCATAAAAAATATCCAAAAAAACTAAACTTTCGTCAGCCAAAATGTATACTGCTACATGTTTTTGATTTAAAAATAAGTGTATATTTATTGCTTTGTGTGAAGGTTATAGCATCTAAAAACTTATATGTATATATAATACCACTTCCTTAAATTAAGAATTAAAATAAAAATTAAATCCCCACAGCACCAAAAACACCTTCAAAGATGTTTAAAAAATGGCAAAATATATATAAAATATCATGGCCAAAATTGTATTTCACACAAAAAAGGTTTGCATTAACACATGTTTTTTAACACATGTGTATGTATTGGAACATAATATAAAACAGAGGCAGAAAAGCAAATATACATAATGTCAATCTGGACAATAAGTATTGGCACCCTGAACTTAATATTTGGTTGCATTTGGAAAACATAACTGAAATCAGTCGCTTCCTATAACAATAAGCTACACCTCTCAAATTTTGGAACTTTCCTTTGCAAAACAGCTCAGTGTTTTCCCAACAAAATTTTAAATTTAATGGGATTTTTCTGATCAAAAAACTCTTCCAGCGCTTCTTTGCCATCCATTTCTGAGTGCTACGTATGTTTGGGGTCATTGTCCCCTGCTGGAAACCCAGGATCTTGACTGGCCCTACAGTGCGACCCAAAATCCTTTGGTAATCCTCAATTTCATGATGCCTTGCACACAGTCATAAGGCAAAAACAATCATTTTTTACCGTAGGTACTGTGTTTTGTTCTTTGTAGGCCTCATTCCGTTTTCGGTAAACAGTAAATATGTGCTTTACAAAAAGCTCCTACTTGGTCTAAATTCCACAAGAAATTTCCCAAATGGCTTACTCAAATACATAAACTTAGTCTTGCTTTTTTATGTCTCTGTGTCAAGTGGGTTATAGCGTTTCATTTCAAAATGTCGACGGATAGTTTCGCAGCTGAAACACTGATGCTCCCTGAGCCTTTGAATGTCTTTGGAACATTATCCAAATATTCCGTTGCAATCTTTCATCAAAAAAACAGTGCCAAAATTGCAAACTTCTTGATAATTTGCGGCACTGTGGACAAAGGCAAAATCTAGTTCTCTGGAGATGGACTTTTTGTAACCTTGAGATTGTTTGATATTTTGCCACAATTTTTGGTTCTCAGGTCCTCAGATCGTCTCCCTCTTTCTGTTGTCCATGCTTAAAACACACAATGCAAAGTATAATGAAAACGTCTCTCCTTTTTTATTCAGGTGTGATTTCTATATTGCCCACACACTGTTACTTGCCCCAAATACAGGGATAAATATAACATTAATTTATCCGCAGTTGTGAAAGGGTGCCAATACCAGCCCAAAAACAGTGTCCCAATAAATATAAACAATAGCAAAACATGTCCGTTTCGTGAGAAATACAAATTATGCCAACAATTTCGGCCATGACTATATATATATATAAATATTATTCCAAAACAGTGTCTATACAATATACAATCAATCCTATCAGTCCACACATTAAATGAATATATAATATAAATCATATCACATATTATTTACTTTTTATGTGATGATAATAATAGAAAAAGTGTTCAAAATTATAGCCCTTCAAATACTTCCAATGCTATAATGCACATAGTGTATTATATTTTAATACATCAAAATCTTGACAACACTCAAGTGAATAACCAAAAAAAATGTTTTTGGTAATAAGTGAAAAAAGTGAACAAAGTGAGAAATCGTGAATCCAAGCAGTGAGGGACACTGTGTATGTGAATCACTTTTCAGTGCTCCAAAACAAACCAACACTGTGACACTTCTATTGCAGTAAGGAATGCATACCCTTACCAATAATTCAAAATAAACTTGCTTTCAGTATCATACAATATCTGGTGGTTGACGGCCCTCCTGTAGAGCTCCCCAAAATGATACTGTGTTCAAGGCACTATCTAGGTCCATAAGGCATGATGTTCCATATCTCCATATACCAGGCACCATATGGATAAAAACATATGAGGGACAAAATAGTGTGATACCGCCAAAAATATGCCAATAAAGAACTTTATTCCAAATGCTCACATTATTTTAGCTTTAAAACCGCTTAAATACCGTACAGTCTCCTTGCTGCCATCCAGGAAACATCCAGGGACAAACAGTGTTTTCCCTTTTCCAAAATGGCCACCGGTCAACTTCCGGTTCCCGTGTATGTTTTGACGTCACTTCCCTTGACGCGTTTCATCATTGACTTATTCATAAGGGATATTGCTCACGAACGTAGATGCGCGCGTGTGCGAGGGGGCGAGGGTACTTTTTTTTAAAGTTATTTTGATTTTTTTATTATTTTTTACACTGTCCCCTTAATTTTTTTTGATTACTTTTAATTCTTTTACAGGGAATGCAAATATCCCCTATAAATTCAATGGGCATTGTCATATATTCTTTTTTGAGAAATCTGGGGTCTATCAAACTCTAGATATCTCCTCTGCCCTTACATTATCTAATCAAACCAAGATTGGTGTGATCAGATCCTTTCTCAATTTACAAATGGCGCTGTTTATATCCTGTGAAACTGAAGTGATAAAATGCTCGTAGCTTCCGATTTCTAAGTCTATACAGATGATTGGCACCATTCTGGTCTCCAATCAGCTCTATCTACGGTCAGCTAGCAGAAACACCGGCTGCATTCTCAGGTTGCCCCGATGGCACGGGACTGCTCGAGAAGGCAGTGGGGGAGGGGGGCATCGTCTCCCGATGCTTGTAAAAGCAATCCTGCAGCTAATTAGCCAATTAGATTGCTTTTACATGAAAGCCGATCGCCGCCTGAAAAAAACAGTACCAGGATGATGCCTACAGCTGTAGGCATCATCCTGGTATAACCATTCAAAGTCCAGTGATGTACCAGTACCTCGGTTTACGAATTTAATTCATTCTGCAGGACATTTTGTATAGCGAAAAATTTGAAAAACGAAACACTGTTTCCCATAGGAATGCATTGAAAACCAATTAATCCATTCCGAAGGTCAGAAAAACAGTAAACGCTACTAAAATACCGCATGAGTTATTTTATTAACTCATGCGGTATTTTAGTATTGACAACCATGTGTTAATGTTTCAGCTGTCAGCGGGGTTCCCAACTGACAGCTGAATGTAAAAGAATTGCTGGCAATTAAAAAAAAAAAAGATTATAATTGTAGGCAATTCACTGAGCTGTCAGGTGCCAGTTTTTAAATGTAATTACCGTTTTTTTTTTCCTTCACTATACAGTAGTTCAGAAATTCAGCAGTCACTTTCCCCCTCCATCTAAAAGAGAGAAAATGTCTTTTAGTTTATTTCCCCAAGTTAAAAGATACAGTGTTTCCTTTCAGTTTCTTAAAAGATACAAAGTATCCTTTAGCTCCGGGGAAACTGACAGCCAATGTTGTGAGCTATAGTGAAGAAAGAAAAAAAGACGGCAATTGCATTTAAAAATCAGCACTGACATACACTTAGTATTGTGAAAAAATAAGTAGAAAATTCATAAACCGAAGCATTATTTTCAGTGGATTTTCATTCGTAAACCGAGGTATCATAGTATACGCTATGTTCTATTTTTTGTATGCAGCCTGTGGACTGAATGAAAAAAAGAGAAGAAATCTCTGCCAGAAAAAGTGTGTGGTATGCCTACCATTAGTATAAACCGCCCTGCATCCACCCACTTCTAATGGTGGGCACACATTAGGTCACACTTTTGCCACATGCCCAAGTTCCAAGATTGTACAAATGTCTAAATAGTGGCATGCTTGAATTACAATTGTCCACGTATAAGTGTTACCCCATATGGAAAAAGGATGACACCAAGTCCCAAACTATCTTGCCACTACTCCCCATGTAGTCTGGACATCCGGGGGGTTCCACGTGACTATCTTTTCCCTGGTAAATCCAAAACTTATAAGTATAGCCTGTTGTCCTCTCACAGGTCTTCTACATCTTGACCCCATATCTGGCACGCTTGCTGGAGAGAAATTGTTTGAATGCAAGGCAGCCAGAAAAATTAATGAGGGACTCATCAACGAAGATTTTTTGCTGGGGAGTATAGACATCTGCAAATTTTTGATTAAGGTGATTTGTGAGGGGCTGAATCTATACTCTCATATCTATGCCTGGCCATGGCAGCAGAGAACACGAGCACATGATGAATCGGGTCTGTGGACCAATACAACCGCAATTAATTTTTTTAGCAATGCCCATGTTGAGGGTTAGGACCAAAAAAAATTTAAATTCCGAAACCGTAATGGGCTTCCATGCGAATGGTCTGGCAAGCTTTGAATTTGGGTTGGCGGCGATAAATTGTTGAGCATATAAATTGCTTTGATCCACAATTGATGCATACAGATCTTCTCTGAAAAACCAGCTCCAAAAAATCAAGGGAAGTAGTTAAATTTGCTGTTTCCACCTGAATTCCAGGTTGGGCAGTGAATGGGGGAAGTGCTGCAGAATTTGTAGGCTGCCAATCGGGATTTGCAAGCACATCCGGAAGGATACTAGGGGCTCTATGCGCCTGTGTGCAAATTCTTGGTGGTTGCGGGACAATACTTGTGTGTTGCCACCACCACACCAGCTTGTACTACACTTATGGGACTCGCCACATCACCAATTGATACTGCAGTGCTGGTATTATTATTATTATACAGGTTTTATACAGCACCAACAGTTTGCTTGCTCAGAGCTTTACAATATAATGGGAGACAATACAGCAACAATACAGTTCAATACAGGAGGGTTAGGAGGGCCTGATCCTGGGAGCTTACAATCTAAGAGGTATGTGAAAGACCAGGATGTACTAGGCCACTAGTGCTCGCCAGTTCACCAAAAGGTAGCGCGGCACTAGTACTGGCATTCTTCTGCATATGGGAGTCATCAAAATTTACCAACAAGTGCTAACAGAGATCAGGCCTGATTCTGCCAACACTGCGGTTTTGTGTGTATCAAGTGACAGTGACCTACTGATATTGCACTTGCTGGGGGAGAAGGAGGGAGTAAGCGTAGGGGCTAAATGCAGGTGTTGGCAGGTGCCGGGGCTGATCCTGCTAACGCTGCATTTTTGGGGAGACACTATACCAATGTGAACGCTGGTATAGTGCTGATCTGATCAAAGATATTGATCCGTTCCGACACTATACTAGCAACGGAGGTTTATTGTGTATGAGTGTGTTCCTGGCAATCAAGGGGTTAAATGTAATTACTGGTGTACTGATGGGCAATCTGACACCATCTGGGAGTGGCATGAAAACCATGGGAGTGCGAATCAGGTATATATATGTGATTTTGCGCACCAGTGCCTCCCTGTAGCAGTATTTCTGCTATAGGGCGGTCAGGAAGCGGTTAGTGTTATGGCGCAGCGTTACTTTAACTGACAATTGTGCGGTCATGGAATGCTGCACCAAAATTAAATTTACATCTTTTTTTCCCCATGAATTGAGCTTTCTTTTGGTGGTATTTGCTCGCCTGTTTGGTTTTTTTTTTTTGCGCTAGAAAAAAAAAAAAAGTCAGACGAAATATTTTGGACTTTTTGCTATAAAGCATGTCCAGTAAAAATCACATTTCGTCATAAATTTAGGCCAAAATGTACTCTGCGACATGTCTTTGCTAAAAAAAATCCCAATACGTGTAAATTAATTGGTTTACGTGAAAGTTATAGCATTTACAAATGGCGGTATATATACTGTAATTTTATTTTTTTTATACTAATAATGGCAGCGATCAGCGACTTATGACTGCGATCAGTGACTTATGGCGGTGATCAGCGACTTATGGCGGCGATCAGCGACTTATGGCGGGACTGCGGCGGACATTCTGACACAAGGGGGGAACTGACTTGGGGTCACTGACATCCCCAGTGACACCAATACAGTGATCAGTGCAAAAAAAACCACTGACACTGTACTAATGGCACTGGGGAGGAAGGGGTTAACATTTTTAGGCAATCAAAGGGTTAACTGTGTGAGGGGAGTTTTTTTTTAAGTCCGCAAACGTGCGAAAAACGAAAAACCCGTAAGTGTACAAAAAAAAAGCGTGCAAGTGCAAAACACAAACACAAAAAAGTGCACTTAGGGGTGTGCTGTGTCCTTCCCCCGAAGGGGATGGACCTCTACCCTGATCCCCCGGGGCACGAAGCTCCTGACAGGGACAAGGTTCCCATATGGTCCACCTAGCCAAAAGGCCTGGCGAACCCCGTTCCTTGTGACCAGCCGAAGCCAGCCACCAAGTACTTGGTAAGGGGGCTCTCCCGAAGAGAAAACCCCCTAGGGACAGGGGAGGAAGGAACCAAAAGGCCACACATCCTCCCCCTAGACTTCAGGGTAGGCCCGAGGACCCACTCCCTACCATCCTGTGAGGAAAAAAACACACACAAAAGTGATAAAGTGACAAACGTGGGAGATAAAATAAATTAAATAAATAAGTGCCCGTGCAATAGTGCACTGGCCAGGCCCTGAGGCCCATAGCAAAAATTGCCCAGGACTTAGCCAAAAGGCCTAGCACTAAAAGGCGCATTGCAGGAAAAGTGTTGGAATTAGTGACCAAGTGCACGTTTCACACATTGGGGTCCCACACCCAACTGTTACTAAGAGCACCCCTGAGGCAACCACTCTCAGGGGGCACTGGTTCGCGGACTTTCTGCTTCCTCGGACCCTGGCCAGACAAGGTAGATTCATTCAAACCAGGAGGAACTGGCCCCCTCTGGTTTTCCAGGGGGAATTACTCCCGGGCCCCAGAAACTGTGTGAGGGGAGTGTTTTACTAGTGGGCAGGGGGTGTGTTCTTCACTGTTGCACGCTGTCCTGGAAAGCTACGCTCTGCTCTCTGGAACAGTATGCTGAAAACTGATGGGGAGCAGTGCTGCATTGTAAAAAATGCAGCTGTGCTCCGTGCCACTGTTTGCCGGCAATCGCTGGGACCCTGTGGGTAATCACCGTCTGGGACCCGGTGATTGACCCCCGCGGCCGCGATCGGTGGCACGGGTAGGGCAGTTGCGCGCCTGGCTTGCACCCCCTACCCGATATGCAAAATCACGTATATATACGTGATTTTGTGCAGCAGTGCCACCCTGCAAATCTGGACAGGTACCCGCTCCCACTTCCACTGCGATCACCTAGGCGATCGGAAACGGAAATTGTCCTCCTAACCTCCCTCCCTGAAGTCTTGTGGGACACGTGACAGGTCCCAGAAGATAACAGAGCCATTCAGGAAGCGCAGCGCTACTCGCGCATGCGCAGTGTGAAGCCGCAAGCTGTCACAGCCGGGTGCCCACACTGAAGATGCCGGCCTCCTGGAATACAGGACAGCTGGTGAAACGGGCTGCGGCGGGGGCTATGCGTGATCGTGGGACAGATGAGTGGCTGTTTTTTAAAAGTCAACAGCTACAGTTTTTGTAGCTGCTGACTTTTATTTTTTTTACAGAGTGAGTGGAACTCTGCTTTAAGCATGCTTTAATTGTCACCCAGTGAACCCCTGTTCTGTCTAATAGAACTCCTGGTTCAATGTAATGACTAATAGGAATGAAAGGAAAAAAAGAGAGAAAAGGCCACACAGTGAGAATATAAGATTTGGTCACTTTTTTTGACTGCACCAGGATTTAAAGGTTAGTGGGATCCAGGGGCGGACTGACCATTTGGAAACTTGTGCACTGCCCGAGGGCCCGGGGTCAGTAGGGGGCCCCATGAGATGCCCCTGGTACCTTTTTCATAGGCTTTTTTGAGTTTGGGCAAGGACACGGGCCCCATGATCCCCTATTGCCCGGGGGCCCCATGAGTTGTCAGTCCGCCCCTGGTGGGATCTTTGCATGAACTCAGTGCTAGCCATACACAGCTCAAATTACAGACAATTTAGCACCACACAGTATAATAATAAATAACACAAGTGAATTTAAAAGTTGATTTGGTGGAGTGACAATTTTTCCACCAAATGGTGACTGCATCCTTACAAATGCAATCATAAGCATGCATGCAGGCAGCAGCATGTTCCTGCATTATCATGCAGCCACAGGATGGTGTCATGTTTACTGTAATTAACTGTTATCCTTCTTTGTATTATTTGCATTTCCATCAACCAAAAATTCAAATCAGGATGAAAATGACTGCTGAAATGTGAGCAAGGACAGAATCAAACATTACTCCTGTAAAAACCTGTAATGCTTTAATTTTCCATACAATAAATATTAATTAGGGGTTGTGTTAAGACATCTTCAAAGTTCAGGTAGAATCCTGTTCAATTTCAGCGAAGCTGGACTTTTCCCCCTAAGGAAAATTAAAAAAACTATAAAAGGAAATCTCATACTTAAAGAGAACCAGTCACATCTGAACATGTGAATAAAGCTGGACCCTTTGTTTTTAGTCATTATTCTACAAGATTAAAATTTAAAGATGCACATTTACAAGTTTATTTAGCCTTACTTAGGATACCTGAGAATGACTTCTTGAGCCAAACATGAGAGGTCTTGTACCTTCCATTCATTCCCCCACTAGTCAATTCAGCCTTAGGGAGAAAACAAAAGAAGGCCTGCAGAAGCTTGAATCTTCCATAGGTCTGAGGACACCCCATGGGACATCAGGGGATGCCTGAAGGACCATTCACTATGTACAGGTGTATTTTTTTGTAGTGGGGAAGCAAAGGTAAGATAAGTATGTGTTGCTGGTAGGGACCCTATTAATGTGAATCTGTTGATTTGCAGGGGTAAAGCAGCGGTTTGCTATGAGGTTAAAACAAGAATAGATTGCATGGATACACTTGCCAGAGGTCAAAAATTGTCAGGTAAATAGTGATAATTATAACAGTTTAAAGAAACTCCAGCTGCCAAATCTCCATTTCAAAAAGTGACATAGCATAATGTTTTTAATTTCTGCATAAACCAATTTGTAGTTTGTTTTCAAACATTACCTTTTAATTAGAATCTACGGCTAGCTATGATTTTCTAACACAGCAAAAATTTTAATTCAGTCATGGCAGTAGTACGTTTCTATACATAGCTTCCCAATCCTTATTCTGCTTTTCCCAGAAATCTGAGTGTAGAGTAAAATGAAAGATATCCCCTCCTTAGCCTTTAAGATGAATGCTAAGTAAATGCATGTTGCCTGATCATAATAATATAGTGGACAGATTGCTCTGCATTTATCACTCCCTTTCAGCAAGTGTACTACAATGTCCTATCATATCACAAAATAACAAAAGTAAATATAGTATGTATTTTTTTTCATCTTGAGCAGATTTAAATTTTTTCTTTTTTTTTTTTTTTTTTTTTAGCAAACCTGGAGTTTTACGATAAAGTTTGATCAGCTTAAAAAGAACGGCTGCCTTCCTCTCCATTGTACATTCATGTTTTTTTGCTCCTCCCCATTGGCTCAATAATTGGGGGTGGGGGTCAGACACATGTAATTTTTTGAAGTGAACATGAAGTGGTTCTAAAGGCTAAAGGTAAAACCTTCAGTGTGCAGCTCCCCGCTCAGCCCCTCCAATACTTACCTGAGCCAAATCCCAATTCATCGGTGTGCATGAGAGCCTCGAGTCTCTGGGGTCTCTCTTTCCTCATTGGCGGAGACACAGCAGCAGGAGCCCCACTCTGTCTTATGTACACGCAGAACAAGCAGCTGGCTTTGGGGCACTCAGGGGGGGGGGGGGGCAGGTGCGCCAGTGGGGAACACAAGAAGATGAAGATTGGGGCTGCTCTGCGCAAAACAATTGTACAGAGCAGGCAAGTATGACATGTTTGTTATTTTAAAATAAAAAAAACAAAAACAGGAAGCTTCACAACCACTAAATAAAACAGCACATTTTAGTATGTTTTAACAAACTGAAATAGGGCATTTGCTAAATATTTAATAGAATTAATTATTAAAGTGGTTTGTAAAAACTTCTATGCTTGAAGAT